TTGCTGGCAGATGGAGCTTGAATTGTGGAAAGTGCATGACAATCGCAAGTGCTGCTCTTGTCGTTCGTACTTGAGTAAGAACTCGAGTAAGTACTGGAAAATTATCTATCAAACCATAAAATGAATGGTGAGGAACTCAAGACTGAAGAAGCGCCAATGGCCCAACAGGTGACTTCAACTAATAAGAATAAGACGAAACCTAGGAAAGACCCTGGGAGGTGTCTGATCAACGTGAGAACAACAGTGAGGAAAACAGTGGGAAGCATCGCCAGAAATCAAGGACATTTCGAGCCCGCTAACAATTATCAGCGGTATATCGTATTACACTCCGGAACAATAGAATATCAAGAGAATTCAATATTGCGGCGATCACGGCTCGATCTGGAAAGAAGAGTGTTTCGTACCATGACTTATACAATTTGAGCACCGCAATCTTCTATTTGATGAAAAGAAAAAGAAAAGAAGGCCTGCAAGTAAATCTTTGGGATTTTTCGAGGCAGAGCGACGACATGATGTCAGAATTTTGATTTGCTTTAATTTAATTTTCGCGCTAAGACTACTGAATTTGCATTCAATGCCTGGCATATTTTTATTCCAAAAAGGACCGAGAACTAATTTATTTCCCAGCAAGAACATAAACAAATATGGCCGACGATTCGAAGATCAGCGTTGCTTGTGTTTAACTATTTCAGTCATAGTTTTCAACATGGCGTCTCGTCACTTACTCAACATGGAAAATAAGGGATATTCTGGCGCGTTGGGAACTTTTTCGATGGGAGGAAATGGCAATTTTACAGGATATTTGGACGCTTCGAACTCTGTAGCAGTCAATTCGATCGAGAGCAGTTGTCTTTATTGATGCACTTTCCTGTAATAGGCGAGTGTTTGGGATGGAGAACAACGGATTTTGAAGAACTATATGGCGACCTTGGTCAATGATCAATGACAAAAGAACTGGCTCGGGAAGTAAGTGGTTTTTATTTATCGAGTCCCTGTGAGGTTTGATGAATAGCAGAATCAGTACTGAATATGTCTCGATCGAGAGCAGACGGGACCATGAGCTCCTGATTGTTATATTTTAGAAATTTTACAAATTTCCATACAGTTTCTTATATTATTTGGACGCCATTATGGACGAAATGCGCAAGCGCGGCCGCCATCTTGTCCAATATTTCTGCCGATGAGAAAGTTGAAACATCATCATCCCGACGCACTCAGATAACACTTTCAGTAGTAGGTATAGTTCTTTCGCTAACTGAACTTCCGTATAAAAGGAAATAGGTCATGGCTTTCGTTAAAGTAACCATTCGTAGAAACTGAAAATATTTGCAGCCAGTCGGAGACCAATCAGGTGAAGATGAAGACGTGCTCAATACCACTGTTAGTCGGAGACATACCATAGCAATTAGACGAATGGATTTATCTCCATGCGACTAATGCAAACAGAGTCTTTTCACTTATGAAAAAACTAAACAAGTCTAAGGCAACTGGCCTGGACAGAATATACCATGCAAACATCAGTCGGGTTTTCGTGCTACTCACTCAACTGTTGCAGCTTTTCTTAAGGCAATTGACTCCTGGGCATATGATATACCTCGATATAGACATTGGACAATCAACGAAGTTATTTTCTAGATTTAAAGAAAGCTTTCAATACCGTTCCCCTGACAACATTCTCCGATCTAAGCTTGACCTTCATGTTATATCTAGGAATTCATTAAAATGTTTTCAGTCGTATTTGGAGAACGGTACACAACAATGCTCTGTGGTGAGTCCTTATCTGAGAGCCGTGTACTAACCTGCGGTGTCCCTCAGGGACTATCCTCGGTTTATTATACATAAATGACCTTCCAAAGAGATTTTTAAACGGTGAACCGACGATGTCCGCCGATGACACGCATCTCACATATGCAAATAATGAGGTAGACAGCGTTGAATCATGTCTTAGGTAGGACATGTCAAATGTGCATACTTGGCTAAACGCAAACAAACTTACCAAAACCGAATTTATGCTGATAGGATCTGGCCAAAGGCTAAATACCGTTACTACTTCCTCGTCAGTCACAATGGACGGTACTCAGGTGGAACAGGTTGTAACAACAAAACCATTTGGTGTAACAACTGACGGCAAACTCAGCTGAAATTTTCACTTCCAAAAACTTACCAAAAAGACCTTTTCTGGAATCATTTGTGTGAGGCAAGTAAAAACGTTGGGTTATTTCTCGACTCATCGACTGTCATAAATAAATTGCTGGCCTCAAGGAGTCCATGTGGAATATTTCTTAGAGTTGTGAAATTTCCTTCTTACTGAAGGTGCTTTGAAGTATGTTTGTTATTATATATGGCATTGCTCAGAAATGTTATCCACTAGAAGGTTTCTTTTCGTAACTGCTGTGATGTTCGTCCTACGTCGATTTGTCGATAACGTGCTAATCAATTCAATAGCTTTTATTCCTATTCCTTTCTACAAACATGTAATCAAACAGCCTTGAGTCTTACCAATGATTACTTTGCTAAAACACGTACTCTTGAAACTGACCGAGCTTCGATTGGTTATACCCACAACTTTAAAAAACCCCTGCAAGATATTGAAATGAATTCTAAACCCATGTTAGAGTATGTATACTTCTCGGTATAATGCAATGTATACTAAGAAATCATGGAAAATTCCTAATATGATCTGAATAACGTGTATGTAACAAGTCTAAATGTGATTTTGAGACAAAGATCATTCGATGATGTGGAGAGAGCCTTTTACCTCTATTAGTAACAGTAATAGTAATAGTGATATTGACGTGAACGAAAATGTGTATGATACGCTGACCAGCTGTGCTAGAAGTTCGCGGAAATCTCAACATATTTTTATATATCCATGCTCCTATATTATGGAGAACTCTATAATACCGATAGCAAATAATTTCAATCACAAACTCATTTGATAAGGACATTTGCTCTTATGGACACTATCATGCAGTCTCAAGTTTTCCACATAAATGGTGTTGCTTTTCCGCCTAAAGGTCTTCGTTGAGGAAAACGTTATTATCTTTATTTTCATCTTCATCAATATTATTATCACCAGTATCATCATCATCGTTCTCATCAATATCACCATCACTACCATTGTTATTACCTCGGTTATTATCACTATCATGATTATAATTATCATCATAACAAATATTGTTATTATTGTTGCAATAATGATAAGGATGATAGTCATTATTGGATCTACTCGCTCTTCGACCATCTACATCAAATTTACTACAAAATGCGGCGTGTGTTATTACAAAGTGCGACAGCTTGCTTTCTTAGAAAGTGCGATGGTCTGTTATTACAAAGTGCCACAGCTTTTTTACATAAAAGTAAAGTAGATAGTTTTAATAATAAAGTGCCAATAAAGTGCCACAAATGTTGCTACAAATTACGACAATTTTATAACAAAGTGTCACAAGTATTGTAAAGTGTCACAGTTATTAAAAACTACTACTAAACAGTGTTATAACATAGCTAGCAGAGCCGCGCAATCAAATTCAGTATACGTAAGCGTGCTCAAAATCCCGATAGTGCACGCTGATAGCGTGAGCAAATCGCTTCGCCAGAAATTTTTTTTTTTTCGCGCGAGCAGCCATTGTTAGCGCCGGAAAAAATAATATATTTCGCGACAATAATGGATACAAACAGAGACTCGGCCCACCGGTCCCAAAACGAAGACAATTTCCGACCTTTTCCCTTTGGCTAGAGTACTTAAATGAGGCAGAAAAAGAGAAAAACAGCGGAAAAGGAGACTCGGCATCAGCGCCGTCACGATTCGCTTCACTTCACTTAATATTTCGCTTACCGCGAACAATCACTTCTGATATTGTTGTCCGTTTTTCGCGTCGGACTTGATGCACAATTCCACCGGCTATGTTAGAAAACAATTGGTTCATGCTTTTAGCTGTGCACTATCGAGTTGTGGAGCAGGTGGGAAGTTTGGAGAGCACTCAAGAAGCTAGAGCTGCCCTCGGCTATTGCCACGGGCACCTCTTACGCTTCTTTCGTGCTCTCCAAACTTCCCACGTGCTCCAGAACTCGATATTGCACGCTAAAGCATGAACCAATTGTTAACTAGCTTCTACTTATTGAAATTTAAATCGTGAGAAACGAGTGGCCGATTTTGGAAGCAGTCTCAAGACTTGCACTTTTGCAAATATTTCCAACACACCTACTGCACATACTCTAAACCAGCCTAAGTACTTGAGTCTTGTCAAGCGAAAATCTCACAGTTTTAATAAATGCGAAAATTGATTAAATTCTTTAAAATGTTTCCTTACGCACAAATTGAAATACGAGATAAAAGGCACAATAAAAGTTCACTAAAAAGCAACAACATAAGGTAGATCGAGGTGCAAGCGTCGGAGAAGTTATCAATGGCTAAAAATGTGCAAACTTGTGCATTTTTCTGATGTCCTCAAGTCCTATATTCCACTAACATCTTACGCTCGGCATATTTCATGGTGCCTCCGCCATAATTCTCGTAATGGTGAATATAAGGATTATGAATTGTTCGTTACGTCAGCATATTTAGTCTCACACCTCAAAGGTAGGGAAGCAGTATGTCAAGAACAATTTTTTTTCTCAATCTTATATATCAGGCAAGCTCATCCTATGTCCATCTATTTTGCAGTGAATATAAATTGGCCATTGCCAGAAAAATTTACCTATTTGATGTTTTGTCACAGTACATGACACTAGACACGGTTGCCCTTTTTTAAATCCCATTCCAATTTTTCTCTACCACTAACACGATATAAATGCCTGGAAAAGAAAGAGTGTGTTTAGTGGTGTGGAATAGCAGCCTTAAACGATTGCATCTAAAACTGATGAACATCAACTTCTAGAGTCTCATGGACATTCCTGCACATTAGCCCCTGAGGCTTAAGACCTTGATAGCTCAATAGCAAGTGTCCACTCTTTAACTTGATAACTTAAATGAATGCTAAGCTCTTAAGTTCAGTGTTTACTCATTGTACCATGATATATCCCATGGCTTTGATGTGGTTCTCTCCATTATCTGTAGAGTAATTTTCCGCTTCGTTTCCACAACTGTTTGAGTCATCAGGTCTCCCTCCTGTACCGAATCCGATCCTCGAGTTGCATGAGGAACAGTGGTTCTCGTTGTTGCTAGCGATACCAATTCGAGCTTTGGAGTAACGCTCCTCGTGACCTCCTGCGTTGAACCCTTCCTGGTTACAATTATACTGCAAAGAGGCCTCAGAACCAAGCAGCGTCTTCCAGTGGTCACGACCCAGTGAAGTAGGGCGGTATTGTCCGTCAGCGATCAGTGAGTACAGAGATTCAGATTGCTTATTGATGACAATGAATTTGGGCTGTTGGCCGATATCCATTCCTAGACAGATTTGAGAGAAGGGAGTATTCCAGTAGGTTGATAACTTGGTTTCCTGTCTGTCGAATCCAGTTTCTCCTCCAGGGAGATTGTATTCTGTGTAATCGCTCCAGTGAGAACTGTTATAAACAAACGTTGACTAGGAGAGAATTCCAAAACTTACGTTCATTTCTTTTGTAATATTTATCGCATTAACGAACCAACCAGATTGAAACTGATTGACACGTCAAAATTAAAGTAGGTTTCAAAGAAAAGCTACGGTTTAAATTGATTAAAGGGGAATAAGTTTCTGAAAAAACTGTGGTGCTGCGTCGGTGAGAGAGTATAACAAGGTAAATTGGTATTATCAACTGAGTTTTTAACGTAAAATGGCCATCGTTAAGAGCTTCAAAGCTGACGTTTCGAGCGTTAGCCCTTCGTCAGAGCGAACGGAGAAATTGTGGGTTGTTTTCGTGTCTATATGCAGAAAATCGAGCTACGCTATCGGTGGGAACATGGTAATGAGAAAAACAAGAAGAAAATTAGTTGAATGAAAAGCGGAGGGCCGATTTGAAAGAAAAATTTTTGTTCCAGAGTTTTGCGGCTTTCCGAACTGCCTAGATGTAGGGCAAGGCCGCAAACTGCCACATGCTGCTTGGAATGATAGGAGAGATCTAGTGACTGGTTTGAAAGCGTCCTTGTCATTTCTTTCTAGGTCGCGAAGGTGTTCTCGAAATCGGTCATCAAGTCGTCTTCTTGTTTCACCAATGTATAACTTTTTGCAACTAGTGCTAGTTATGGCATTAGTAGAGTGCACGTGAAGTGACCAGTAATCTTAATGGATCTCTCAGGTCTCGACGTTTTCTCTACGTTATGCATATGGATGAAAGGTGAGGTTTTGTATCGTGTGCGAGTGCGTTCCAAAGTTCCAAATTGGTTATTAACTTGTAATAAACTTCTGACTGAAGAGTGGCCTATGTTTTAGTGGCGTTTGAATGAAATTAGTGGAGGTTGCGAAAAGATAGTACCAGTGTCTGAATAAATTTGAACTAATTGAAAGTTTCTAATAACGATAGATTTAACTGCGTGGTTGTGAGGGTGAAATGTGAGAGTGAAACAACGACAGAAACAGAATAGCTACGTTTATCGAAAAACTGGAGCATTGACTCTGACTTGTCATCAGTCGATCAGTTGATTTGATATGTTGATTTGATTTTTAGAGCGCGCGGACACAGTGAGAGAACCAGTCTAGATCATCAAAAATTGCAGTGGACTCACTCTTTCCATAAGAACATGTAAGAAATGCTTGATATGTTTCCCATTCATTATCATCAATGAAAGAAAATCGGTGTGTTTCTTAAGATTAAAGATTTGTAGGACGAGTGAACAGAATGGGGCTATTCCTTATAGTTCAAACTCCAAGTTATGCAGCAATTTGCACTGTGTAAGGTGGTTCAGAGAAAAAACCCAACATGTTTAGTATTACAGCTAGCCATTATCGCTATTAAACCATCTTTGTCTCGTATACTTTGTAAAAGTGCAGATCACGTGTAATCAGGAGCTCTGAAGCTCCCTCTGAAGGAAATTAAAGGTGAATACAAGTATCAGTAATACCAATTAAGTGACCATTTGAGCAGCGTCAAACGATCATAATGGGACGATGAAGAAGAAGTCAAGGTGTGTTTTAAAAGTTCGTTGTTTCTACATATACATGAAAAAAATAAGACATAAAACAAGAAAACAACAAATAAAAACACCTTGCTGCCGTCAATCTTCATGACTGGTGTCCAACCTCCATCTCCACATCCAAAATCTCCCATGTGGCAAAAAACGGGAACTGGGTTTGAGTCAAGAAGGAGTGTCACCACACCACTCTCAAGCGTCCTTTTCATTAAAATAAACAATAACATTAGTTTATGTTTTTGTTTTTGTTTTTGTTTTTTTTACTTAAAAGAAGTTTAGAAGCCCAAGAGTTACACAATGGCTCAGAGTTGTCCTCGATACGCCGGCTGCATTGAAGCATCTCCGCCGTTGATGATCGACAGTAAATAATTCAATCGTTTACTTAAGTGAAAAGGAAAGGATTGCTATGTGCGTAGAATGAGATTGTCATTTTCAAAATTATTTGACGCAATTTGTATGGGGCTTTGGGTCTCCTGACGTTGAACGCTACTTATTAAAAAGAGAAAAAAAACAACAACAAAAACAACGATTATGATTAAAATAGCAACAGCAAACCCACTCAAAGAAGAGAAACAAACTAGAAGGTACGAAAAAACTTAAGGTAAACTTTTTAACTGTCGGTAAATTTGTGAATCGTCATCAACTTTCCATTTTACTCACATTTGCTGATGATATTCATGCTTACACCTCCAAGCTGCAAAACGAAAAGATGATTGCGATTATAAGAAACTGTCAATTTTTAGTTTTTTGGCGACACAATTATAGTGACTATGCAATTAAAATTTAAAAATTAATATCTGACAAGCAATTCTGAATTTATAGCCGTGATACGCGATCACATTCCTCACACCATTCGTTAAAATCGAAGTCAGTTGAGCGTTTATAAGTTAATACCTCCGACGATATTTCCATCCTTCTTGCTAAAACTAATTTTTAATAATGCTAAAATAATACCTTATACAATACACTAGAGGTATTTACACTACAATACTATTTAAACAACCATTGTTTACGTTAAATCAGAAAAAGCAAAGGGGGAAAATGCAAAAATTTCCAACCAATGTTGATCATGCCCGTCCTTAGTAATTGCAGCTTTTCAGGTGTCTCACACAAGTTTGACAAATTTATTCTACTTCTCGTCGTCGAGTAATTGTGGCCGTTTCCAAAAATATTTTTCAGTTATTATTAAAACTTTTATCAAAAAATTTTTGTCTTCAACGTTACCCAGCAACGGCTTCTAACTATCACCTTTACGGTTCCGTATTTCATACTAGAACAGTAGTTGAGTTAAAGCGAAGCACAGACATGATCAAAATTATTTGGAAGGAATTAAAGCCCCCTTAACTCTACAGATTGGTCAATCCTGAGTGGCTGCTTTCAGTTGATCCTGAAAACCCAGATTTAGACTAAATTCCATAATTCGCCCTCCCATACGAGACGAGGAGTACTCGTTATTTTTCATGACAGGTATCCTTTACTCCTTGCCTAGGAATCAAGTAACTTAAGTAACTTTGAGACAGCTTTACGTTTTCGGTTGAAACGTTCAAAAGGTAAACTTGGGTTCTCAAGCAAACCTTCACTACCGTTATTTTTCCCAAAGAAAATGTTTTGATTTACTTACGTTCGCATTCTCGGCCATTTCCGGTGAATCCGGGCTTACAGTCGCAATTGTACGATCCTTCGGTATTATCACAGAAGGCATTAAGACTGCAGTTATATGACCCTTCAGCACACTCGTCAATATCTAAAAACATTAAAACAAACATGAACACAAACATCAAAACCAACAACGGAAATAGTGTAATTGACAAACGGCTGAATTACAGCATCTCACCCATTACCTACAAGTTTAGTTACCAGCTCAACTAACACCCACCTGCTCATTTTTCATTTTCATGACAAAGCTTTTGTTTGATTTTGTATCTTTGTTTGTTTTGAACGTTTATTTGGTTTACACTGACATATCATATTTGTTTCTTAAATGCATCAGCCAGTTCGTTTAGCCCCAACGGTACTTTCTGAAAATAAAACCCTTAGATCTTTTCACTAATCAACTAGATACTTATATCCCGATCAGAAAAAAGGTAAACTTCGGTTCTCAAGCAAACCGTGCGGTTTGCGTGCGGTTTTTTGCTACTTCTGTCTGTTAGGGTTGATTTCACTCTTCTTCTACGCTGCATTTCTATGCTTAAAAATTTTTTGTCTCTATTCGTGAAAGCCTTTTGAACCTTTTTGTAGATTAGTTTTGTTCCAGGAAACAATCGATTACCTTCGCATTTGTGCCCATTTCCTGTAAATCCAGGTTTGCAAGTACAGGTGTGGGATCCTTTGGTATTGTGGCAAATTGCATTTTGACTGCAATTATGTAAATGCGTAACACACTCGTTGATGTCTAAAATAAATGAAAAAAGAAAACAGCAGATGATCAACTTGTAAAAGTAAAGTTTTTTCCTCATTAATTATTTTGATTTTGACAAAATCTTAATAGTTTCTCGGTAACCTAAGTCGTAATGCTGAGAACTGAACCTTCGCAGTCTCGGCCATTTCCAACGAATCCAGGTTTACATGTACAGTTGTACGACCCGTTGGTATTGTTGCAAAAGGCATCAATACTGCAGTTGTGTAACCCTTCAACACATTCATCAATGTCTGAAAGAATGAAATATTCAATCATTAATAATAGAACTACTTGTAAGTCGTCTAGTGACCCGCCATCTATCTGATTTTACATCATAAAGTCTTTGTATGGTCGCTCACACCGCTTATTTATTTTCTTTTCAATAATTATCAAATTAAAATAAGAAACAAACGAAAACGCTTGAACAAGTAAATTAATCAATAAAGAATGGTCAGATAAAAGGACTGTTTCAGTGTTCTGTCTATGAAGAAGGAAAACTTAATAACTTTGATAAAATAACTGAAATACTACAGCTCCTGATTGGTCAAAAACCTATCGTTTATCGCACCGGTAAAGCCATAGTTATTCCATAAAAGCAACAGACCGCACTTTATATCGGTTTACCGCCGTAGTAACCCACTTGAGTTGTTGAAGAACAATCGGAACTATTGTTAATCACGAGGAGGTGGCGATAGAAAGTTAACTGAAAGTAAACAGGTAGAAAGTGCCGTTTGTTGCTTAAAGAATCGACTGTCCAACACAAGGTCAGTAACCATTTCATTTTCCTGAAAAGGAACCTAACCCTAAATGCCAAATGAAGTAATGATTGTATTATTTACCTGTATTAAAATCGGCCTCACAATTCTTTCCTTTAAATCCAGCTGGACACAGACAGCGAAAACCTTCTTCATTAAAACCGCTCTGGCATGTACCGTTGTTTTTGCAAGGGTTTCCCACACAAGCGCTCTAACGCAGAAAGGCAATTTCAGTGAAAAACGTTACCCCTTCGAAACCGAAAGTTTCCTATTCATATTTCTGCTTTATTTACATCCCCAGTAATCTACTTTGCTAATAAAGTTCACGTTTTGATTTAGCTCTCAATAGTTTGTACCGCAACAAATATCAAGGAAAGGGATTCAAAAAGATAGTAAATGAAGTGATTTTTTTCTTCCCAGGATGAAAACATGATTTCGCGACATTTGAAAGAATCGAAACAAACCAACAAATATCATTGCAACAGAGTAACAGCGAACAAGATTCTTAACGTAAGTAAGTAGTAATGAGACATTCACCTCTACTGCATGGTAAGAGAAATTCGTGTTTGACCTCAACTCGTGTACACGCCCTTCGTGGGTAGCATTATTCAGTTCACATTTGTAGTTTCCATTCACATCTGGTCGTTTCTCAAGATTAATACTGACACAGTCTGGGTCCATAAAACACATCATTTTACAAAATTGCTTCAGCGTAACCTCAGCAACACGAATCACGTGATTTAGAAGGCGACTGCCGTCAAATGCTCTTTCAGGCCTAAACTCTAAACTACGACACTGGTCTGCGTCTTAACGGAACAGAAATATTTAACAAATCAGTAAATACTTCGTCTGGCAAAAATGATCATCAAACATGATCAGTGGAAGACGTAGGAGCATTTTAGTTCCCGATCAACTATTCTGAGGCTTCTCTCCCCCTCTCTTGTATGGAAGCGTAATCTATTTACGCTCCCCTAATCTCTGACATGGGAATTGGGGGCTACGCGATCAGACTTTCCTCTTCCCGTTTGAACAATTAATCTAACACTGCACTTAGGGCGGGTGTCTAGACTCCTTAATTACATAGATCTCTTTTTCAAATATAAAATTTATTATTACAAAAAATAGGTATTTTTACTACTCACTGAAGTCAATAAACAATGAGGATTACAGTTTGATTCTTAAAATGTTAAACATAAGGACGCTGGTACTACGGAAGGCAAATTTTCACCAAATTTTGAATTTGAAAACATAGTCTGAAACAACACAGGCTAGATTGAAGTTTGTAAGATGGTGAATTAAAAGAAACTTAACCTTTTAGATTTTAAACCACCAATTTTTGGAGGAAGGCATAGTTATGGAAATCAATGAAAAAAACGTCATCAATATATCGTTTGTGTATGAACCTAACTATGTCACTAATTTAAGCAGCAGTCTAAAAAGTATTACAGCCTAGTGTCTTGGGCTGCAGATATAGACTTTGACAGAAAGGAAAGACCACTGTTTTGGAATCTCTTTTGCGCTTTTTTCAGCAGTCCTTATCTGATTATTGTTTAACTCTTTAACATATCTGATCGAGGAGCCTATAGAAGTCGCCGAATGGTAGAAAATTCCAGTCGGTAAAATCTTAATTACAAATGAAAACATTTTCAGTTCCTGCGGGATAAAATCAAAAACATCAAGCAGCTAAAACGCTTTGGTAATATGTTACTGCAAGAAACTTCGAGAACTAGGCTCAGTTAAATGGAGAAAGGGGTAAGTTTCTAAGGAAACTGTGGTGCTGCGTCGGTGGGAGAGTATAGCAGGTAATTTAGTGTTAACAACTGAGTTGAAAACGTAAATTAGCCACCGTAAGGGTAAAAAAGCTGACGTTTCGAGCGTTAGCCCTTCGTCAGAGCGATAGGCGATAGAATGGATAGACACTTACCTATCGCTCTGACGAAGGGCTAACGCTCGAAACGTCAGCTTTTTTACCCTTACGGTGGCTAATTTACGTTTTCAACTCAGTTGTTAACACTAAATTATCAGTTAAATGGAGACTTGGTTAAGGGTCCTTTCCTTGTAGCTAACATCTTGGATGGCTCATCTCGGACGTGCTCGACGATCACGCGGGAGAAAATAAAATCAGGAACTTACCCATACATTATAGCATAGATTCAACGGCTTATGTGAACGCAAAGAGAACAAAAGATCATTTCCATAGGAATCTCCATCGTTTCTTTCGTCAGGAGGTTAGTTGTAACAATGACAATAATAATAATCATTATTGTAGTAAAAGTAACACTATTAATAATCGTAGTACTAACAATAATAATAATGACGATGATATAGAAAATAGTACACATTATTGCTTGTAGAAATGGAATTTTTCTTCTTGTGTTCAATTGGTTATCTCACGAGTGAGCGCATACAAGTAACATTGTCTTATTCTGTTTACTAATAGATAAGATTGGCCTCCGACAAACGACCTTAGATTGAGAATCTTGAACACTTACTATTCATTCGTCGACATTACAAAATGGTGCGAAAGGCGAGTGACGCGTTAGCAGCTTATTGGCGATATTAAACACATAAGATATTACCGCAATTTTACACAAGTACAGTTACGAATTTCATAGGGTTTAAAATCCTTGTAAAACACTGCAGTTTTCTCAATGAAAATAAATAAAAATGACGGAAATCAAATTCGTTTTGGGGAAAATAAACACCATTAAACCTCAGGGAACAAATCCAACGCGATGCAAACTTTTGCTAACCGCCCTAAGGGCCAAAACTATATATCGATTTCACTCGGTAGAGTATGAATCCATTCCAATTTTTACGAGGGGCAGCCTTCTTGATAACCAGCGTCAACTATTCGAGTTACAACAAGTCTAAAATGGAGAATAGGTTGGGAAGTCACCACAAGTACATTCATTATCTCAAAAGTAATCTTAATCAAATTTCAAACTTTAACAGCTACCAAGAAATTCTTATCGAATATTGATAAGTGCAATTTGTTGTTATTTTCCATCCAATTCAAAATAAACTGACAAAAAGGTTATGCTATTAATAATTGATTAACAAATAATTGTAGAAATTTCTTCTACAGATATCTTGCAGTTCAAAATGAGTTTTAACTCAGCAGGAAGAGTCACACTGGATATTTGGCTCGCGGTTAAAAAGAAAGCGTTCTTTCCAAGATTGGTTATTGTCAGGTAGGAATATGTCGCTGAGAATCAACAATGCATAAGCAAATCCGTTTTTATGTAATTTACTCGGGGTAAAACCGATCAGAAAACTTTCCAACTACCATTTACATCACAGAAGAGTGCGTTGAGAAAATCACATTTTTCTTTTTAGTTTTTAAAAGCAACTCTCTTTTCCAAGATATTAATGTTGTCTACTGAGCTGACTGATACTGTAACCTTTCATCTAAGAGTGTTGGTAAACAAATGCCACGAGCAACACGAACCCTCCACTTGTGATGCTTTTTTTCCATTTTTGAAAGGAATATTCTTTATCATAGCCTTAGGCTGTTGAGCAAAAAATGTTACGCTCGCCTTAAGTCTAGAGTCATTTGCTGCGTTTTCAGCTTAAGGGTTAGAGGTGCAAGAATTTCCGGATGATATCAGCGATAACTTCAAGCTTCTCCTTCAAAAGCAATTTAAATTCATGTAAAAAGAAATTTTTATGACAATCATTAATTATGTTCCCGAATTTTTTTTTTTCAGTTTTTCATTTCCTCTAGCTGAAAAGTGACAGTGCGAAAAAGTGTCAGTAATTGTTAATAAAACTACATAAGTAATTGGAAGGTTACAGATAACGTTGCTGTTGTCACATCTGGATCATCTTTTTTGCAAGGTGTTGTGGATCCTAACTAAGGTGCTGACGTAGTACACAACTTTTATCTTGTGAAGGTAAACTTTCCCTACTTTAAGGACAACTCAAAATAGAGCAGAAGGAAGCAATTGATGAAGCCACAATTTTTAGTCACAATTTTTGCGATCAGTTAGAAGTTATGCTGAGATTTACCTTGTAATCCGACTGCCCTGGACATCATCAGGAAGACAATTATCAGAAAAACACAGATACAAACGCAATGCATGTCAAAAAACACAACTTCAAAAATTTACTTGTGTTCTGAACTGAATGCAGAGCCGGATCTGACAAGCTTTTCAAACCAACATTAAATCTGATCTATGGTTTATTTTTTTTTGTTAAGAGAGCTTCTTTTGTCACCCATAGCCAATAGGAATTCGTCTGTTGCCAATCATGACCCACGTGAATTGTGTCAAAACGGCCGCCCGTTGTTTTTTCACAGCCGGTGAAGTATGGTTTTATTACTTTGCTAATGACTACACACCTGCCTTTCTGTTCTACTTCTTTTTAAAAAAACCTTCCTCGGAACTTGCCTCGTCACCGAGTATTTCTGCTTGGTTTAAACGCAACATACTTGATGGTTACTTACGTGATCTTGCGGTGCATTTAAAACACTAGTCTCCAGCTGTCCTAGAAAAGAACATTGTCGAAGCCGGAAGGTTTCTGCTGGAAGAAAAAAAGGAACATTTACAAAATTTTAAAAACAAGCAAACACGTTACATATCAGCCCACGCTTAGTGTAAAAGCTACTCTATTCATAAGAATAATACCAATGCAATTGAAAAAGGACATTTTGGAATTATCGCACAAGACGAACACTAACAAAGAGGATAATAACTATAAACCTTTCACTACTCTATGTTCCAATATTTTGAAGTTTGATGCTATCTTCATCTTTGTTCTTTGTTTTTTTCCTCCGTTGGTTGGCAGATATTTTCCATCTGACGTATTTTCGCATCAGCTTTTAAAGCCTGGAGGCTGAAAGGGTACTTTATAAAGAAACGCATTTGAAGCTTCGACTAAGCGAAAATCGGACTAACTCAGTGTAGATTCTTCCTCGAACAATTCTTGCCAGGTTCAGAGAACTTTTTTCCAGAGATTTTCATAATCTCATATTATCTTATGGGTGTTACTGACTAACTACATTGGTGCTTTTCATCGGTGAACATCAAGTGAATGTAATATCCCATCCATTACTGCGAAACTTGGATAAGAATTAAGTCATATCGAACGCGATTAACAATATCATCCAAGTTGCTAATGGAGATGTATACTTGAGTGCTAACTGCAAATTTTCCCCCTCAAACCTTCGCTTATCGTTTAAATTTTTATGGCAGCTGCGTTTCGTCCCTGAACCTGCTTTATATGACTGAGCTAAACAAAAAAAGACCGAAATCTCATCAGAATGCCATCGATAATTGTGTCTGATCAATCACTGAAAAAGGTATTTCATGTTATATGTGGTGATATTTCTTGTTACCTTGAAGTCAGTTCATGACTGAATTTGTCGACTTTCATGCCACAAATGCGATATCAAGGTTACAAATTGATTCCGATGTGTAATTTACACCTTGGTCTATTTTTAGTCCATAGGAAGGTCAGCTCAATATAAACGAAAAAAGTTATTTCAATAAAGCACGACACGAAGACAGTGTCTAATGCATTGTGGTTTCAAATGGCGTCCCATACTTTTTATTTTCCTAATGATGCAGTCGAGTCTATATTTTCTATCAGAGGGTTCCTCTCTACTCCCGGTTTTAAAGCTTTGGGCATTGCCTTATCGTTCCTCTAGCTAAATTATTTCGTGAATCCATTGTTGTGCTGCTGGAAAATTA